ACAATGGTAAATGCACATGGAGCGGATCTGCAATCTTTACAGCGAATTGTGAGATCGACATCACCAAATGGCCTTTTGATACTCAGACTTGCTATTTTAACTTCACTTCATCGTCGTATGACAGCCAGATGCTTCAATTATCGYTATCTGGGGATGAGGACAGCCATACCTCACTTGATAGTAYGATATTGATTATGATTTTCATAAAAATAACTTATTGTGTCTTATTGTGATTATGGCTGCCTACTGCTTGGTTGTTAATTGGTTGGTTATTTTGTCGTTGTGCTGTTTGAAGCGATGTGTGTCGCAGATTTATAAAGAAAAAAATGTGTAGCTGGAAGGTGCAAGSTTACCTCATATGTTTCTGTAACTATATTTTTCGCATCTTTCAGATCTTTTGTTTGGCTATTGCGTCTTCTTCGCAGCCGACCATTTTGCCAGGTTTTTACCTGGTTGCAGACAGGAAGCCCGGTAAAAAGTTAGGCTGCKAAGAAGGCTAATTGTKCCTCGATAAGAGGAAGAAAGCATATCCAAGCACATCCTTCATTAAATTGACTATCTTATTTTAATTCCCAGACTTTGAGGAAGACAACAGCTGGAAGAAAGTATCCTTGGAAGTAAGCCTTGAAGAAGCAGACCATGGTCACTGCTGCCCTTACACGTTCTCTCAAATCTCATACGGTCTAACAATCTCACGTCTATCACTATATCAAATGTTTTATATATTCGCCCCTTGTTGCATACTCACTATATTGTCATTAATGAGCTTCTTCATCCCGTCAGAGAGTGGGGAGAGGATAGGCTTTGTTACCACTCTGTTACTAAGYTTAATGGTGTACTTGCTCGTCGTCCCTGAGTCCTTACCAGCTTCGGGCAAACAGATTCCAATACTCGGTGTAATGTTAATGATAACTCTTGTCATCATTTCGTTGGTCCTGTTCACTACGATTATTATTTTGATATGCTTCTTTCGTACCGACAACCCTCCGTATTTGCTGAGTTGTTTGGTTTCCAAGAAACGCGATTCTCGTCGAGCCACACCTCAAGTGCATGTAGAAGATCACATCTCTTTGAAGGGCGTTCAAACTGCATTTGCGCTTAACAGTAATGAGGGAAGCTCAAGGAAGCCCTCAACGACGACCCCACAGAATACTGATCCAGCAGTTTCAGGCGAACAGTTATGGCAAAAGATTTCACTCAAACTTGATAAGATCTTTTTTGGAGTTTTTCTCATTATAAGCATTATCTCCTACTTAGCTTTACTAGTGTTTTCTAGAATTTAATTCACCAAAACATTTTTGAAACTTTAGTAATATATATATTTTTTGTATACAGTATACTTCAACTGATTGTTTTCAATCATATCGCACAAAAATAAAACATTTGGTATATTATATGTATATTATACATCTGTAGTTGCACAGTCAGTATATCATAAGTGTTGAATTGACAAGGCGAACACGTTGACAGGGCCCTACTGAAAACCGCCTCGGCGAGTAGGCTCCCTGAATAAATATTATTGTTATTTATTTATTTATTATTGTTGACCAAAGCAGTTAACTATGATCTAGTAAACTCCACATAGAATTAATCAAAAGGTCAAAAGTACATGTTCATTTTACCAGTAAAGATGAGACTCTATTGGGCTATTAGAGTGAAGTCAATGAACCTGTGAAATACATATTTGACTATTACATGTTATTACTCGATAATTCCATTGTTTTCTTTTGTGTCTATTTGACTATTACAGTTTAATTATTAACTTTTATTTCACAGGATCAATGCCTTCACTCTAGTTATCTTTATTATTAATTCGATATTCATATCAAACTTAATGGTGACAAAAAGTCCGTGATTACTCAAGCGTATTAACCTGTTCGTATGAAGTGTCAAATTTGACGAAAAGAGACCAGATTTCAAGAATTTTTGAAGAAATGTAATGATATTACAGACAATCCTAAAAATCTACCATCGAATCTAAGAAATAAAATATATATGTGACCTTTCTGTGTATTCTTCGTGAGAAAATTTGAAAATCCAAGTATGTATTTTCGCCTTTGAAGAGTTGTAGTTGAGCATCAAAATAGACTGGCGATCAAAATTTTGAACACGGCTCGGTCCAAAAAAGTGGGCCTCCTGCATAACTTATTTAGTTAATGAAAAACCTAGCATCGAATTTGTGAAATAAAATATATATGTGATCTTTCTGTGTATTTTGTTGTTGTTGTATTTTTTTTTTAATTTCAAACCGGCCGCTACATTGCGTCGGATAACTTTAGGGACGCACGGGTGGCCGAGCGGGCCTGTCGACCCTTTTCGAATCTAGGTCGGGATGCCATATGTGATTTGAGTTTCTCTTTCGTTCTCTCCCTTGCGTGGAGGGTGTTTCCGGGTKTTCCTCCCTCAGYAAAAACGAACCATTTCTATCTGCTGTGGTCCGTATTCAGGCGTTCGTTGCTATGTAAAGGAAGCGTCTACAATAGCCGGCAGCACGCCTATGTGTAAGTGTATGTAAAATGTATATAAAATGTGTAATATAGCACTTTGACTTGAGAGCGCGTCGAACTGCGTCTATCGCAATTCAGCGGCCTGTTTGAAATTAAAAAAAGAACAGCACCCATGTTGCTATGAAGGACGATTAGCAACACCTTTAGACACCTTTAGGATATTAGACAGCGATACAAGTTGATGTTGATGTACGCAGCTGAATTACGAAAAATGGAATAAGCGCCGCGAGGTTTGTTTAAGTATGAATAGAAGAGGCTACACTTATTGCACCCACGCTATGCTTCATCAAAACAACGCTTCTTTTTATCGAAATCTAATTATTCGACACAAAAGTTAATTCAAATACGGYGAGTTCGAAGAAGTGCGAGAGGTTGAAAAGACGTAAAAAAAAAGAAAAACTAAAAAAATTGGAAAGAATAAGAAATCTACTCAAAGAGCTTCCAATCAAATGGACTTTTTCGACATTTTATTKGCGCTATAATACGGGACTGACAGATATATTCTTTGGAAATTATCAAAAATTAGCATATTTTATAAGAGAAAGATCATTCGCGAACTTTTTAGACTATTAACTATTTKTTGGTAGTTCTTTTTTGATCAAATATTGAGCTATCTCGTCAAGAGAAAAGAGCGACAGAATTTGAGGGAAAGTAAGTGTTATGTTTGCATTATATTAACTCTATTGCAGTATAGAGAGAGGCTTCAGCACCACTAGGCGGGGAGAAGAGTCACAACCTACAGTTTATATTTTTGTCGTTTTATTGTCTTTTATTCGTTAAAGTTATAGACGTCTTATAGAAATTTTCAATATTACACGGTAAGTCGGTAGCGCGAAGGATATGATCTGAATTTTATATCTGGGTGGTGGAAACCATTTCTTTCTCGGCAACACACTATTATCCAGAAATTAGAAAAATAAAGATGTATTAGATTACAATGTCAGAGAACTTTTTGTTTYGTTTCTTTAGTTCAAAGTTCATGCAGGTGTGAGGTAAGTTGCTAGTTGCCTTGGCTCCACCATTTTCCGAGCAGTCCAAATAATACTTTCAGAAGATAAACATTTGCAGCAACAAGAGGGCGTCACCTAGCACGCAAATCGAAACGCTTTTTGATCAGACAAAACATTGAAAAAAAAATCCTTCTTTCCATTTTGTATTCATTTTTTTTTTTTTTTGCTGTAATAAAGGGCAATGTCTCCCCTTTCTCACATAAAGTCCTAAATTGGCCTCACCTGAAATTGGGGGTACAAAGATTTTCTTCATTGTGTGGACCTCGCTTTAGTGCGTTTAATTTAAAGTGATTATAGGTAGCTATGGTACTTTTGTTCTTATATTACATCTACAGAAATAAAGATAAATAAAAAAGAAAGAAATAATAAAAAGATAAAGTAAATTGATTCAGATGTACCACTTAAATGCAGAAACCAAGACTTTTGCTTGCTAGCTTAAGCTAAGCAGTAAAACATCCGCTAAGCATCCGCTCCAAGATGGGCTCAAACATGTTGGTTTACAGTACGTTTACATTAGGTAAGAATACATGAATAGTTTTTCAAGGTTTTCTAATTTGGACTAGTGTAAGTTAAACTACGAATTCTAGTTGCAGCTTTTCTTTGCGTTGTTGCTGAACGACCTGGTTCTGAAGGTGAGATCATGATTCGAAAGAAGATCTTAAAGAACCATGACAAAACAGTGCGACCAGCGATTGGTTCTGAATTCCCAATTCACATTGGGATAAAAATGAGAGCCATCGTTGATGTGGTAAGATAGAGGGTATTTACTATCTTATTAAAAAAAACTCATTTAACATTTATAGATATAGAGACAAAAAGAGCAATCTGTCGGTTCCAGATAGTGGTTGTCTGAATTTTAGTTTCAGTTAATTTGTAATTGCTTTTTAAAAATTATAAACAATTTATCCAGCTATAGATCAATGTCAAAAATTAAAATTTTGTCAGTACATTGCAGACTAGCTTCTAGCTGGAACAGCAGCTGCAGAACATCAGTTCTTATTCATAAGGTTGAGTAGCTCTAGTGTTAGTCATAACAATTATTATTTAAAACATTCCGTTTTTTAATGAGTTTAGAGATATGCTATATCCAAAGATGTAAACTTCTTGGCTATAAACGATGCACCATTCAATAATATTAAAAATATTGGATGGCAGCATCTAAACAATAACACAACAACAACAAAATTTTAATCCATCTTTTTCCATTCTCATTTTTTAGTATAATCTGGCACTGGATAAGGTTGAGATAAATTTCACGTATACTATTAGTATGTTAATTGAGATATAGTAAACAACCCCGTATAAGAGCACCTTTTTGGCGGTTCAGGCTGATTTGGATTCTATTTAAAAAACTCATACATAATTAATGAGTTATTAGGCCAATAGAATGAGCCTATTCGGTCACATGGTCACACTGCTTATTAGTATTCTGTATAAATAAGAATACTAATAAGGGTGAACTTAAAACGGATTAAAAAAATCCAACACTAATTTGAAACTCAAACTCGTTAAAAATTCTTGGAGAAATCGCTGTAAATATAATTGAGATAAATGGGGCAAACTGCTGATCATTGATCTTTGTTATTCTTCGAAGGACGATAAAGAAGGGACTATCACTATGAAATCCTGGGTCGTCATGGTAAATATTATGATATTACACTTTTTTTTATAGTTCAACAATAAATTTTCCACCGCTTTCATGGTGTTAAGATGACCACAAACTACGTCGGTTAACTTGTTGGTTTAACTCTGCTTAAATATAATATTTAATCATTATTTGATACTAGAATTTCATTATGTTCATTGAAAATTGCGAGGGCTTCAACTCTCTGTTGTACAGCGTCACTGCACATTTCCTAGTACATTATAAAAGAAAGCAGGGAAAGCATTCTGGAGTATTAGAATATCGTCTATACTGAATAACATATATTTTTCATTTGAATTTATTTCATTTCTCTCTATTCTGACAATAAAAAATAATTTAATTATTGTCCATCACAATTCCGCATCATGCTCATTTTGTTTTAATCCGCAGGAATGGAATAATACGTTTATTAAGTGGGAAAAATCAGAATATAAAAATGTACAAAGAGTGCACTTTCTACCCACAGAGATCTGGTTCCCGGACATTGCATTGTATAACAAGTAAGGTTTGGTGGGATTCCTGTGCATTTTTAGTTTGAATTAATATACACCAATGTTTGTATATATGACAGATATCAGAATTTTTCTTAGACCTATCATGAAATTCATTAATAATTCATTAGGTAAACACAATGGAAACTAGAACTATTGTTGTGACCGAATCTTTATATGAGCAAGAGATTTGTCCTGATTTTTTGGAGGGGATTTTCTTTCAAAAACGATATTTTATCTTGAATTATTTATTAAAATATGCTTTAGCTTTTGCTGTAATTTGATATGCAAAATAATAAAATATTGCATACCAATTGAGTTGATGTTGTTGTTTTTTGTCAACAGCGGTGACCCTGACGTTCCTATAGCTGGGGGTACAACAAAGTTTCGTTCCAATGTCGTTTGTAAACATAACGGTGCATGTACCTGGAGTGGTGCAGCCATTTTCATCGCACATTGTGAGATCCACATCAAAAAATGGCCTTTTGATACTCAAACCTGTGATTTAGTCTTTGGTTCTTCTTCCTACGATAAAAAGCACCTTCAGCTGAAGCTTTTCCGCCACAGTTTGTTCAGTAAGGACTATTATATGATAATATGTATTGCTTGCTAACTTTATTTGGCAAAATGGTTATGATTTAAACTGAAGGTAGCTTATTGTAGTCTCCTCGCATCCGTGTTTAGTTTCGGTCACGCGTCACGCAACCTCACCACACAGGTTGCGTGACGCGTGACCGAAACTAAACACGGCTACGAGGGGACTAAGCTTATTGGGAATTAAAAAATATCCTCACTGAATTTAACAAGAAGCCAAAAAATGTCCTTTTTCTGTGTGAACAAGCAATGTTTCTTGAAACCATGTGAATRGAATCACTAGAAATTTGTGCTCATCGAAAATGATCAATTCAGTATGAACCACTGCTGGTACATCAATATTGTATTATCTGATGATCAAGCTCAGTAATTTCGTAAGTATAAAATATGCTTTTTTTAGTTCCTGAAGGAAATAGCAATTGGAAAGTAGAGTCCCTCAACGCTGTTGTAAGTGAAACAGACCACGGTCATTGCTGCCCTTACAAGTTTGCCAAAATCACGTACAGCCTCAAGATAAAACGTCTCTTTGGCTATCAAATGTTTTATATATTCGGCCCTTGCTGTATCCTCACCATATTGTCAATGTTGAGCTTCCTAATCCCGTCTGAGAGTGGGGAGAGGATAGGTTTTGTCACATCAMAGTTGCTGAGCCTTATGGTGTACTTGCTAGTTGTACCTGCTTCGTTACCAGTATCATCGAAAGAGATTCCCATTCTCGGTGTGATCATCATGCTGACACTAATCATTATCTCATTCGTCTTGTTTGCTACGATTCTTGTTCTGCGATGCTTCTTCCGCACCGATATTCCACCCAAATGGCTTCGCTTTTTGGCCTCCAAGAAGTTCTTTCCTCGTAAGTCTATTCCAGTGAAAAGGCAAGCACAGGACGAAAAAGAGAGTTTCGCTGTAGGACTTTTGCTAAAAGGCTTTGACGTCATGGACGTTGATGGTAAAGTCCCCAAAGCCATGCCTTTGATGCCTGAGCCATGCATCGATGAATCGGTATCTGGTCAAGAAATGTGGCAAGACATTGCTGTTAAGCTTGATGTGATCTTTTTCTGGATTTCTGTTCTTGCAAGTGCAATTTCATATGCTTTTTTTATAGGAATGGCATTCACTGATTGATGTAATATGATGAGGTAGCAATCACCGGAAGCATGTTAAATGATAAAATGATAAATTCGCATATATGTTACTTAATCGTTTCCCAATTAAAAGTTTTGATGATACCCTGGAACTGAGTTTGGAGACTAGAACAGTTATTGTAAATTCACTAATGGCGAGTTGAAAATTAGAAATAGGCACTTTTGGCGCAAAAGTTAAAAAGACAATTTTTCCCTTTAGGGTCCGCTTTTAGTCTTCCAAGTGCATGTGGAAATTTTATCTGCGCAGACAAGAACTGTTTAAATCCAACCCAGCATATCTTGCATGTAAAATGAAATGCCAACTGGATGATTTTAACGTGCAGCGAGCAATGAGCTCTAATCAGCTCTAAGACGTATAGCCCATTAATTTTAACAGTAAAATTGTTTTGACTTTTCAAACAACAAGAGCAAAGAATTAAAAGTGTCGCTTTCCTAGTATATAAACTGGATATTAATTATCGATCTTTCTGATATCTTGTTAAATTGCACTTAATAATTAGTAGAGCTATTATTGTAATTATTACATAATATTTAATATGGTGATTGTCAGGTCAGTAAGCTGACATGCACATGTAATTGTAATTGTACTGAACAATAAACGAAAGTCGAAACTTTTAAGTACATTGTATATCCTCAATTGTTAAAAAAGTATCTATCGAGGGATATTCCCGTGTTGTATTAATTGAAATTACGGTTGTTCCGACATTTTTTTAAGAAAAAATTCGACTGCCTGACGTTTAGTCCTGGCACTAAACGTCATGCTGCCTGACGATTAGACACTCCGTAATATTTATTAAGCTATTATTGTATTTATTACATAAAATGGTGATTGCCAGTAAGCTGAAATGCACATATAATTGTAATTGGAATGAGTAATAAACGAAAGTCGAAACTTTTGAGTATATTTTATTCTCAATATGTATTGAGGGACCTTAACAAACGATATTCCCTTCATATATTTTCGCTATCTGAAAAAGTCAGTTTCACAATATTAGCACTAGTATAAATATGATTGTAATTATGTGATTTTAGCCGATAATTAATAAATGCATATCGTGTTCTTGTGCCAGTCGACAGTAAAGAAAGGAACCGAATGGATGTTTTTGATGACCACTAATTAGTTTCTTTTAGCTGGAACAATATGAGGAGTATTGAATTGGTAACGAAGGTCCCTTGATACCCGCGGCTTCAGTAAACACAGGTTTATTTGAGATGCACAGTCTTTTATCATATGAATGCATTTAGAAATGTTAATCCTTCAATTGAATCAAGACTGTCGTTAGTTTGAGCTTAAGTATGCTGGCAATGGGCAAGTGCTCCAAGACCATGTCGTTAAACGCACTGATTTGCAGCATATCTGTATTAGGTAAGACTTTATTTCATTTTATATTTACATGTAAAGGTATCTAAAATTATACTTGAAATCTGAACATTTTCCCATTTGGTAATTTGAATGAAAGTGTGGGCGGCTTCATATCTATATGAAAATTTCAATTTAGCAGCATCAAATGAACCTTTACTATTAATTCACAACTCGCTCTTTTGAAATGTCAAGATATGTTTCTAAATTCAGATCATACGATAGCCTGGGCATTCAATTTTGTAAGGATATTATTTCTGTACGTAAAGCTTTTCTTAGTGTTGCTTCTGGACGGCCCGGTTCTGCTGGCGAGCTTCTGATTCGAGGGAAGATTTTAAAGATGTATGACAAGACAGTAAGACCAGCGACTGGTCCTGAATTCCCAATCCACATTGGTATTAAATTGAAAAGCATCGAGAACGTGGTAAGTAGTCACACAAGTACTGTTGTAATGCAATTATAACTTTATGAGTAATTTTTCAAGTACTTTTTGTGTGCCTGAGGAGATGAAAATCGCCTGTATAGGAATGAATGTATTGCATTCAGTGCCAACATGATAGAACATGGATTATAGATTGAGCACATATATATTATATTCATGAAATAACATCATTTTAACATAGTAAATGCGCGCTTAATAGTGCCCTTCTTTGTGTATCACAATCTATTGTATTTCGGTTAGGTTTCTTTGTTCTATTAGCTTCTGCTGCATGTTCTGATCTTTTGGTTTATATTGAATTAGTATTCGGATTATCTTTCGTTTTATATTGAATTACGTACTGTGATCTGTTATCGCTCAGACTTAAGGCTTCATTATTTGAAATATGTCTACCAGAGAAAAATAAAATGAGAAACTGGCAGCCTGGTCAACTTGGCCAGCCAGCTTCGTATAATAAAGCTTACAGATGAAAAAAATACCCGACATAGGTGGATGATTATGCTAATCATTTTGCTCGTTAGAAAGACACGCATTAAGTGCTTGCATTCTTTTATATAATAGTTGTATTGTATTCAAAGTGGTACTTACATCGGATTAGTCAGAAGTCTTTCTATCAGACGACATATTTTTCCATTTCTAAATAATACAACTTGTACGAAGAGAAGCACGATGTCTTTGGTGTGTACTGCTGACCCCATAAAGAATTCCAGAATAAATGCATGTTTTTTTTACTATTTTTTATTAAGGACGATAAAGAACAGACTATTACTATGAAATCCTGGGTTGTTATGGTAAGTATATTGCTAATATAACTAACTCGTGTAGTTATTACTAAGTCTATTCGCTCTGTGTCATAGCCGCCATATTGGAAAAAACTAGAAAATGCCCACTATGAGCTTACCTTGTCCATTCGACCAAAACTAATCAATCAATCAAACTTTATTTAAACACTGAAAATCGTCAGTCAAAATCTAAAGTAGCGTACATCTTAAAAAGATGTTARTGTTTTACATGAATGACGTGTGGGAACTCGCCTTTTAGGTAGAATAGGATGAATGAGAGACCGAATATATTCATTCTATAGGTAAATTCATTGGGTGACGAGTGAATTCAACGCGGAATTCACGAGTCATCCAATGAATTTACCTTGAATCTCATGCCTCAATTTTAAAGGAGAAAAAAATTATAAAAACAATAACAAAAAAAGGTTAGAAATGAGCGTGCGTTTGCAAAATTGAAGCGATCGCTCGTGAGTTCAGTGCGAGAATTTCATTTTCAGTTTTTTT